GTTAATTGTATTTTTAAAATTTTTTCTTATGCTGGGTAGTGGTGGCGCACGCCTTTGATCCCAGCACTCAGGAGGCAGAGCCAGGCAGATCTCTGTGAGTTTGAGGCCAGCCTGGTCTACAGAGCGAGATCCAGGACAGGCACCAAAAGTACACAGAGAAACCCTGTTTTTTAAAAAAACAAACAAGTCTTCTTATTATTACTTTTAGTAGTAGTAGTGGGGGGGTGAGAAACAGAGAGACAGAGGAGATGAGGAAGAATAGGAGGGAGCAGGAGGGGGAGAAAGAATGAGCTATCTGATAACCCTGTAAATAGCTTTGGGACAAGAAAGCACCCTGGCTTGTCTGCATTCTCTCATCCCTCAACAGTCCTTTCCATTATCTATCCACAGCCTCTGAAATTCTCTACACAGACTCTGTAGAGCCTTTTTGTCTCAGTACAACTGAAGTCATGCCAGAAAAACTAGCTAGAACCTCACAGTCAAAAAGACCCCAAACGCTAGGCGGTGGTGGCACACGCCTTTAATCACAGCACTTGGGAAGCAGAGGCAGGTGGATCTTTGTGAGTTTGAGGCCAGCCTGATCTACAAAGCCAGTTACAGGACAGCTAGGGCTGTTGCACAGAGAAATCCTGTCTCAAAAAAAAAAAAAAATACTGTAATCCTAGCACCCAGGAGGCAGAGGCAGAAAGATCTCTGTGAGTTCAAAACCATCCTGGTCTGGGCTGGAGAGATGGCTCAGCGGTTAAGAGCATTGGCTGATTTTCCAGAGGACCTGAGTTCAATTCCCAGGAACCACATGGTGGCTCACAACCGTCTATAATAGGATCTGAAGCCCTCTTCTGGCATGCAGTCTCTGTCTGAAGATAGAGGACTCAAGCACATAAAAGAAATAAATCTAAAAAACAAACAGAACCCTAGCCTGGTCTACATAGTGAGTTCCAGTCAAGTCAGGACTACAACGTAAGATCCTGTCTCAAAAATGAAAACAAAGTCATTACCTTTCTCATCAAATCAATCTCTACTTTAATGTTTGTTTGTTTGTTGTTTGTTTTTTCAAGTCAAGGTTTCTCTGTGTAGTTTTGGTGCCTGTCCTGGAACTCGCTCTGTAGATCAGGCTGACCTCGAACTCACAGAGATCCACCTGGCTCTGCCTCCTGAGTGCTGGGATTATAGGTGTGCACCACCACGGCTCAGCCACTTTTAATAGAAGCAATATTTCTATAAAAATTTCCCAGCCTGGGAGTGGTGGCAAACACCTTTAATCCAAGCACTCAGAAGGCAGAGGCAGGTGGACCTTTGAGTTTGAGTCTAGCCTGGGCTACAGAGTGAGTTCTAGGACAGCCAGGACCACGCAGAGAAACCTTGTCTTGAAAAACAAAACAAAACAAAAAATTTCCCAAGGTTTAGTACTCAAGAGGTACAGGCAGAAGCAGATGGATCTCTGTGAGTTTGAGGCCAGCCTGGTCTACACAGTGTAAAGCCCTGTCTCAAAAAATCAATATAAAAAAATAAATAAATTCCCTAAGCCTCCTTATTGCCTTAGCCTTCTTTCAACTCACTTGCCATTTACTAGCTACAATCATGTTAAAACAAAAATCCAAGCCGTGGTGGTACATGCCTTTAACCCCAGCACTCGGGAGGCAGAGCCTGGAGGATCTCTGTGAGTTCAAGGCCAGCCTGGGCTACAGAATGAGTTCCAGGAAAGGCACCAAAACTACACAGAGAAACTCTGTCTTGAAACCCCCCCCCAAAAAAAAACAAAAAAAACAAAAAAACCAGGGTTGGGCATAAACCTGTAGTCCCACCTACGTGGCAAGTTGAGGCAGACAACCAGCCTGAGTGAAATAGTGAGAGCCCCCCTCCCCATAACAAACCACAATTCAGTCAAGTCATTCTTTTGTTTAAACGTAGTCATGGGCCTGGAGAGATGGCTCAGAGGTTAAGAGCACTGACTGCTCTTCCAGAGGTACCGAGTTCAATTCCCAGCACATGGTGGCTCACAACCATCTGTAATGAGATCTGGTGCCCTCTTCTGGCCCGCAGACATACATGCTGTATACATTAAAAAAATAAATAAATAAAAAGTAGTCATGACTGCTGACAAGATGGCTTGGCTGGTGAAAGCATTCACTGCCAAACGTGACAACCTAAGTTTGACTCCCAAGACCTACAAAATGGAAGGAGAAAACTGACCCCCAGGAGTTGTCTGACATTTCCATGTGAGCTATGGAACACACTATCCCTCCGTAGAAATAGGTGCATTATTTATTATTTTAAGTGTGTGTGTGTGTGTGTGTGTGTGTGTGTGTGTGTGTGTGTGTGTGTGTGTGTGTGTGTGTGTATGTTTACATGCACGCTCACACATGAGTACAGGCTCCTGCAGAGGCCAGAGGAGCTGGAGTTACAGCTGTTTGTGAGCTACCTGATGTGAGTGCTGGCACCAAACTCTGGTCCCATGGAAAAGCAGGTCCCTTAACCAGCAGGCCATTGCTCCAGCCCCAGATGTCTTTTTTTTTTTTTTTAATTAAAAGTCAAGATTGGAGAGATGGCTCAGCAGTTAAGAGCGCTGGCTGCTCTTCCAGAGGACTGGATTAGATTCCCAGCACCCACATGGTGACTCACAACTCTCTGTAATTCTAGTCCGCAGAGAGTCAACACCATCATCTGGCTTCCCAGGGCACCGGGGACACATGTGCACAGACATTTCATGCAGACAAACACTCATATAAATAAAATGAGTAAATAAATGACTTTTTTAATTAAAAGTAGTAATGGGTCAAAGAGTGCTTACCTAGCATCCCCAAGACCCTGTGTTGAACCCCTAGTACCACACAAAGAAGTAGTCTACACCCAGTTCTTCCCTCCTCTTCCTCCTCGCTCCCTGGTGGTGAGAACCCATCCAGAGTTTCACACATGGTAGGTGTGCTGGCTAGTCTTACGTCAACTTGACCCCCGTTAGAGTTATCTGAAAGGTGAGAACCTCACTTGAGACAATGCCTCCATAAGATATGGCTGTAAAGTATTTTCTTAAGTAGTGATGGATGGGGAAGGTCCAGCCCATGGTGGGTGGTGCCATTCCTAGGCTGGTCGTTCTGGGCTCTATAAGAAAGCAGGCTGAGCAAGCCATGAGGAGCAAGCTAGTAAGCAGCTCCCCTTCTGCATCAGCTTCTGCCTCCCAAATCCTGCCCTGTTTGAGTTCCTGTCCTGACTTCCTCCAACGATAAACAGCGATATGGAAGTGCAAGCCAAACAAACCCTCTCGAACTTGCTTTCTGGTCATGGTGTTTCATCACAGCAATAGAAATCCTAACTAAGACAGTAGGCAACTGTCCCACCACCATGCTACATCCGCCAGCTCAACATCTTCCCGTTCTTCTAAGAATGCAGTTCCAATTCCTTTCCAGGACCTTGAAGAGATGTCTAGTGCTGCAGCCTCTACCCGCATGTCCACTCACTTTTTTTTGTTTTGTTTTGTTTTTTTCAGGCAGGGTTTCCCTGTGAAGCTCTGGCTGTCCTGGAACTCACTCTGTAGACCAGGCTGGCCTCGAACTCACAAATCTGCCTACCTCTGCCTCCTGAGTGCTGGGATTAAGGGTGTGCGCCACCACTAGGCCATTCACTCGCTTTTTATGTGACTATAGCCTATTATGTTCCAGCCATCCTGGCCTCCATTCTAGAATGTTCAAAATTCTATCCTTCTGCATTAAGGTGTGTGTGTGTGTGTGTGTGTGTGTGTGTGTGTGTGTAGGGGGAGGCCATTAAAAGTGTGGTGTGTTTATGTGTGTGTGTTTTACGGTGAGAGGCCAGAGATACACATTGGTGTTTTCACTCTCTACCTTATCTTCAAAGACAGGGTCTTGCCACTGAAGACTGGCTAAGCTGGCTGGCCGGCCAGTGAACTGGAGGGAGTCACCGACCTCTGCTTCCTCCATTCCCCTAGGGCTGGGGTTAAAAACTCTCCACCCACTGCCCAGCCAGCAATCCTCCTGCCGTATCTCCCGCATGCTAGCACCACAACATGCAGCTGTCTCCTCCACTTTACTCCAGCTCTTTAAATACAAAATTCCCACGGAACAGGTAAAACCAGGGGAGAGCTGTCCTCATAAAACATAACAGTAATGTGCTCTCTTTATTGAACTGTATTTGGCTATAGAATTTTCGAGGTTTATTGCGGACACAGGAAGAAGTAGTCCTTTCAATTTCTCTCCTAGTATACCATAGAGGATATATTGTCAAAGGTGGCATTGTTCCTAAGCTTTGCTCTTTGAGGGAAAGGACAGGAAGTTGCGAGTCTTATCCTCAGGAAGGGTGATGATTTTCCTCAAGTCACCAGACTGTTCTTGCTTTGAACACTACATCTTGTTATAATTGATCACTTTCTTCTTGTTTTATTGGTTGCCAAGGAGCTGGCAAAATTTTCTTCTTCCTTCCTTAGTGAATCTGGAACTTCACAGAATAGTTTGTGAGACACACTCATTCTTCGGTCTTTCCCACCCTTACACTCCTTTACTATATATATAGTTTTTCGAGACAGGGTTTCCCTGTGTAGCTTTTGTGCCTTTCCTGGAACTCGCTTTGGAGACCAGGCTGGCCTCGAACTCACAGAGATCTGTCTGCCTCTGCCTCCCGAGTGCTGGGATTAAAGGCATGCACCACTACTGCCCAGCCTTCTTTGCAAGAAGAAAAAAATATTCACTAATGAATGAATTATTTAAGGTAAAATAAGGCAAGACTAGGCATGTAGTTCAGTGGTACAGCACGTACTTCGTGTTCATGAGGCAGGCAGATCTCTGTGAGTTTGCGGCCAGCCTGGTCTGCAGAGAGAGTTTCATGACAAAGGAACTATGCAAAGGGTTACTACTACTACTACAGGGCTACACAAAGAAACCCTGTCTCAAAAAAAAAAAGTTATGAATGACTCTAAAATCTGTATGTTCTTCGACCTAGTAATTCCACTTCTAAAAATTTAATCCTATCCTCTCTGCCAGATCACTGCCATCATGGACACGAGTCATGTGCAGCCCATCAAGCTGGCTAGGGTAACCAGAGTGCTGTGCAGGACCAGTCCGCAGGGACAGTGCATGCAGGTGTGCATGGAATTTATGGATGATACCAGCTGCTCTATCATTAGAAACGTCAAAGGTGCCGTTGGAGAAGGTGATGTGCTCACCCTATCGGAGTTAGAAAGAGAGGCTCAGAGGTTGTGCTGACCTTGCTGCCGGGTCCTGGATATCCACCACTTGGTCCCTGATGACTTGCAACTATTAAATAAAGCATTTGTATTTTCTTTAAATTTAATCCTAGGGGCTGGAGAGATGGCTCAGAGGTTAAGAGCACTGACTGCTCTTCTAGAGGTCCTGAGTTCAATTCCCAGCAACCACATGGTGGCTCACAACCATCCGTAATTAGATCTGGTGCCCTCCTCTGTATACATAATAAATAAATAAATCTTTAAAAAAATAAAAATAAATTTAATCCTAAGAAAATATGAGGCCTGGAGAGATAGCTCAGTGGCTGAGAACATCTGCCCTTCCAGAAGACCCAGATTCAATTCCTGGCACCCACAAGGTAGCTCTCAACCATCTGTATAGTTCCATTTCCAAAGGATCCCATGACCTGTTCTGACTTCCAAGGGCACCAGGCACACAAATAGTTCACAGATATACATGTAGGCAAAAAGCCCCATGTAGATAAAATGCAATTAAAAAGAGAATTGTGGCCGGGCGGTGGTGGTGCACGCCTTTAATCCCAGCACTTGGGAGGCAGAGCTAGGCGGATCTCTGTGAGTTCAAGGCCAGCCTGGGCTACCAAGTGAGTTTCAGGAAAGGTGCAAAGCTACACAGAGAAACCCTGTCTCGGAAAAAACAAAATTGTAACAGAAGAGGGAGAAAGTCCGTGTGCGGAGATGCATTATATTGTAACAGTGAAAACAGGCTTTTAAGCAAGGATATTAGACAGTAACAGCTATTTTTCAGAGAAGTGTGAAGCTTAAATGAGATGATGCATGCAAATTTCTTAGCATGTCACTCAGGGTACAAAGTATATACTTTATACACTGGCTGGTTGGTTTCAATGCTAGTAAGCAAGCCATATCTCAGCAACACTGAGTCCAGCACACAGCCTTTAATTCCAGCACCCAGGAAGCAGAGGCAGGAGGTTCTCTGAGTTCAAGGCCAGCCTGGTCTACAGAGTGAGTTCCAGGACAGCCAGGACTATGCAGAGAAACCTTGTCTCAGAAGAAAAAGAAAAATTGAGAGGAGGATGAGGGTTAAATAAAATTTTGTGTGCTGACCTATGACTGGCAGTCTATTCAGCTGAAGTAACGTTTACAAATATTTGCTACTTGGCAGATACTGTTTGAAGTGTTGGGGGTGTAAAATAAAGCAGAACAAAGTCCTTTATTTCCATTGACCAGAAAGAATTTGGCAGGTAGAGGAAACAGGATATAGTGGTCAGAGATCTTTCATCGACAACAAAAGGTCACTGGGGAACTAAGATTAATCACCTGTAGGATTGGGGAATGAGGTTCACAGTTAGGTGCCCCAGGACAATGACCCGTATCTAACTATCCACTGCCACTGCTAAGTACAGATATGTGTGTGTGTGTGTGTGTGTGTGTGTGTGTGTGTGTGTGTGTGTGTTAAACTGCCAATGCCATCGGAACAGACAGCAGACACCAGTTTTTCATTACCGCCTCTGTCACCCAGGAATTCCTTCTTCCTGCAGACGTCTATTCCACCAAATTTCTCTCCCTTGAATTGCTAGCTCCCAGTGAAAAATAAACAACAACAAAAACCCCAAGAAACAAAAACAAAAACAAAAACAAAAAAACAGCAAAAAGCCACGTGTGATTATGCACCCATAATCGGAGCACGTAAAAAGCCGAAGCAAGGAGATCACTGTGAATTCGGGTCAGCCTTGGCTACACAGTGAGCTCCAGGCTAGTCTAAGCGGCACAGTGAGACTCACTCTGAAACAGATGCACAAACACACACTGGGCAGCCATCTGCTGCTGTGCCTAGACACTGTGCCCACTCCCTGCTTCACGGGAAGCTGAAGAAGTACGTGGTACTTGCCATTTCTTACAATTCTGTCTCTAACCAGGACTCCGGGCCTGGGAATTCAGGAAGAAGCTTCTTGAGATCACTTTCCCAAAGCAACAACAGAAGTCCACTGGAGAGGAAGGGCGTGGGATGATAAGAGGTTAGAGAAATAAGCAGGAGCCCGGTAATTCAGGGTTTCCAGGAGAAAATAAGGAAATGATTTTTACCTGAGGACTGGCATGATTGGATTTGTGGTTTTTTCAAAAAATATGATTGTAGTGACTGCTGCCATTGACAGTGGGGAGGCAAAAGCAGAGAAAGAGTCGAGACAAATTATGAGGCCACTGAAGGAGTTCAAACTAGAGTTCATCGTACCTGGATTGATGCCGGGAGAGAGAATGGAAACGCGGGGTGTGGGGGACTAGCAGAGCGTGCCGATCAGGTCAGGAGAAGAAGACAATCAAATACTGGTGATTTGGTGCTGATCCCTGTCATCTGCTGTGCTTTCCCTCTACATTCTTACTCTTCGTCTCTCTTCTCGAGCTACACTTACACTGTCTTGGTGACTGTAGCTTCAGAGGAAAGGCTTCTCTCCTCGAGTGGCGCTGGCGCTGGCGTCCAGGCTGTGCGCACAAAAAAATTCCGTGTTTTATCACTGAGCTACGCCCTCATCCGCTCTCTTGTTTTCACTTCTTCCCAACCCACTGCAGTCAGCGTAACCTTCGAAAAACGTAAAGCAAAATCTCGGCTTCCATCTGTAACCTCAGACACCTTGACTGAGCCCTTCCCTCCCTCCACAGTCACTCAGTGTCCCACGAGCCTCCCAGTTCATTACCTTCAGCCCTCAGGGTCTATTTATTCATGCTACAGTCTACTTTTCCTTCAGTTTTTCTTTTGAGTATTTTCCCCCTAGAGTACACTTCATTAGTTTGTTGTTTGCCTTACTGTTTTTTAATTTTAATAATATTATTATTATTGTCGGGTGCCTATGTGGCTGTGCATGTGGAGGTCAGAGGACAGACAACTTGGTTCTCTCCTTCCACTTTTACTTGGGCTCTGGGGGGAGAACTCGGGTCGCAAACTGAGGCTTGCAAGTGCATTTACCCATTGGGGCATCTCATTGGTTCCCATGCTTGTCTGTTTGCTTTTCAATAAGATTTATTTATTTTTATTTCGTGTGCATTGGTGTTTTGCCTGCATGTGTGTCTGTGTGAGGGTGTTGGGAGAGTTGTGAACTCCATGTGGGTGCTGGGAATTGAAGCCGGGTCCTCTGGAAGGGCAGCCAGCGCTCTTGACTGCTGAGCCACCTCTCCAGCCTATTTATTTTTTCTTTGAGAAGAGAGTCTAGAACTCCTAGGCTGTTGTTTCTCTACTTTAGCCTCTTGGGTCCTGGGACTAGAAATATTTGTGGTATTTTTGTTTATTCATTTTTGAGTCAGTGTCTCCTATATTCTGGGTGGGGGGGCATATGTATAGTCAAGATGACCTTGAACTTCTAAATTTAAGGCCATCCTGGGGCAGTAGAGGTGGCTCAGTAGTTAAAAGCACTGGTTACTCTTTTTCTTTTCTTTCTTTCTTTCTTTCTTTCTTTCTTTCTTTCTTTCTTTCTTTCTTTCTTTCTTTCTTTCTTTCTTTCTTTCTTTCTTTTATTTTTCGAGACAAGGTTTCTCTGTGTAACAGTCCTGGTTGTCCTGGAACTCACTTTGTAGACCAGGCTAGCCTCAAACTTACAGAGATTCACCTGCCTCTGCCTCCCAAGTGCTGGGATTAAAGGCATGCACCACCTCCGCCCTGCTACACTGGCTGCCCTTGCAGAGGACTTGGGTTGGGTTCCCAGCCCCCAGTGGCAGCTCACAACCAGGTCTAACTCCAATTCCAGAGGACCTGACACTTTCTAACTTCCTTGGGCACCAGGCATGCACATGACACACATATATACAGAGGGAAAACACTCATCCACAGGAAATCAGTAAACAAACCTTGAAGACTTCTGGTGCTCCTTGCTCCACCTTTCTGTCCCATGCTCAGTGGAGGTATGCAGCATCACACGCAGTTTTCTGGAGTGCTGAGGACCAGACCTAGGGTTTCACGCGTGCTAGGCAAGTGCTCAGCTAACTCCACGACACCCTCAACCTTTGGAGGTTTATTTTTATTCTGACTTTCATTTTTCAGCTCATGTGATTCACTCAAAGAGGCAATCCTTTACCACAGTGGGTCCCAGCAGAGAATATGACTCTACTTCCCAGAGTTCTGGTAATTTTAGAAACTTTTTTTTGTCATGATGAAAAGGATTGTAGGTTACTTGCAGACAGAAGCCAGGGATGTTACTAAACACTCAGCAGGGCATCCCTGTGCAAGAAAGAACTGCCCACAAGGCTAGAAAGATGACTCATTGGGTAAAGGTACTTGCCACCAAACCTGATGGCCTGAGTTCAATCCCTGAGAGCCATATGGTGGACAGACTCCTGTGATCATGCACACACATATACACACTCTAAAATAATTAAATGGAATAAAAAGAAAGAGGCCTAATGTGCTGATGCACACCTTTAATCCCCAGAGGCAGGTGGATCTTGAGTTCAAGTCCAGTCAGGTCTATATAGTGAGGTAGAGGCCAGCCAGGGCCACATATAGAGACATGTTTCAAAATAACAAAAGAAAGAATGAACTATCCAGGACAAAATGTGAATACTGCAGAAACAATGCTAAATAACACTTTGAGTAACATTGTATTGGGAATGGTCCTTTTTTTTTTTTTTTTTTTTTTCCTTTTTTTGTTTTTTTGAGACAGGATTTCTCTGTGTAGCTTTGTGCCTTTCCTGGAAATCATTCTGTAGCCCAGGCTGGCCTCAAACTCACAGCCTGCCTCTGCCTCTCGAGTGCTGGGATTAAAGGTGTGCACCACCACCACCATCACCACCACCACCACCACCACCACCACCTGGCTGAATGATCCTCTTTTATTGCTGTATTTCTTTCTTTCAAAGTACTTGTCATAATCTGCATTTACTTTATTTTTTGACTTACCAAATCTCTGCTTATCTCCAAAAAATATATTTGTGTGTGTGTGTGTGCAGATACCAAATTTCTCTGCAACAACCTGAAGTCCAGGCAGGTCTTGAACTTACCCTACCATTGAGGTCTCTTGAGAATCTGGGCTTACAGACCTTTGTCACTAGACTGAGCTAAAGTCAAGATTTTTAAAAAATA